TTCCCCCATAAAATTTTTTATGCATTTCTAATCTCAGGTCTCCTCCTCGATTTGGGAATTTTTAATATTGGGTGAGGAGTGGGGATTAGGAAGGTGACTTCAAATCTCGGAACTCCCGTTTGAGAAATTGTTTGAGGCGGTCAACCGAAGCTCGTCAAGCTCTGATTTTGAGGTTTCACCGTGTAATTCAAAATATCAAGTAGAAACAATTGCATCAGAGGAACAAATTGTTTTACTTCGTCGTCTGTGAAACGTAAACATCGAACTAATTTGCAACAACCGCGTATATTATGACAAGTTCTCTCATTCTTCCTTCGCTCGGGAAAATTAACTGAAAATATTTCATTGGCTTCAGTATTAAAGCAGAGTCATTGCTGAGAAGCTAATAGCATGTTTAGCCTGTCAAATGCCACGCAGATTATGTAACCTTAAGGTTTATTACCGTGTTCACAAAACCCTGTCTTTATTCCTTATTAGAGTCACACGAATCTATTCTATCAACCCTCAAAACAAATTCTCTGTGATCCATTTTAATATTATCCGAGTGTATTCCTACAAATCGTAAAGTGTAGTTGAAGAGCGAGGAGGAAGCCAAGGGAAATCAGGCTTATGAGATATTTCCATGTGCACAGGAAACTGATTCATCACGGAGAGAAACTTAATACGAAAATGTTATGTTCTGTTATTTCATCAGAATGTTGTATATTACATGAGAGCAGGAAAAATAGTGCAGTCATGTTTTAAAAATTTAAAGTGTTTGATAACTGCCAACATACGAGATTGGATAACACCGAGTAAGGCAAAGCGTAGATCTGGAAATTTAAGACTGAATTTTTAGTCACGTAGTAAAGGGAGAAATGTACACAAAAGTTTGGTAGGGAAACTTAAATATTACGGTCATTTTAAGACCTGTAAAGATATGGTAAATTAAGCTAGATCTAGGGGAAATTGGTTGTGGAAATAGGAGGAGGTTGAAACTATCTTAAGATCGTAAAATGAGCTGAACGTTTGGGTTCTAACACCAGTTACTTAGTATTATATTATGAATAATGTGGCGATGCAGTTCAGTGTATGACTTAAGGCAGTTTCTTTGTAAAATTTTAGTGCTTTGCTTTCAAACTTGCAAGGAGCGTGACCGTTAAGCATCGGAGATTATTTCCCGTTTTACGAACACGCAGTTTCACGTTCTCAGTGGCTATGCAGGTGTATCATAGGGGCTTTGGCGTCACAGATCCGGAACGTAAGTAGTTTTGAGGGTGGTAGTAGATGTAACAATCTAAATTTCGCTGAATGGTGAACAATCCGGGATCCAACCACATCCTCCCCTCCCTCAAACTCCAACAAACTTTATTTGCGGTGTAAGAAGTTTAGATTCTGAGTAATCGATTCACCAAGAGCGTGAATTACGAATAATTTAAAATTCCTTTGACTGGATATTCATGTACATTGTTGAGTTACGCAAGGCAATGAGTGTACCGGCCACAACAATCTATTTCTTATCGCGTCGCGTATTTTAGAATTTATAAAGAGCATGGATGTTGGATTTAACTGTTCGTAATCGGGTTCGATTCCCGGCGGTGCCCGAATTTATAACTTGTGTTGGGCAAGGCCGTGGTCTAGGCAACACGGAGTTTTCCTCCGTGGCATCCCAACAATTACTCCAGTCACACACAGAAGAAGGCAATGGCAAACAACTTCTGGATCATCTGCCAAGAACGTATATGAACAGGTCCCAGTCCGAGAAAAGGATGGAAGGATCCTGTTCATATGGACCTGTCATCAGACAGAACACTAAATAATAATAATAATAATATAATAATAATCTTTCACTGTTTTTCCATAAATACTTCGAGACCCGAAGGACTAGTAATTGTTATAGACGGATCACGTACGTGACCAAGTGGATTTGGAAATAAACAGGCTATAACAACCGGGCCGAGACACATCTCTATTCATAGCGCGTAATTAATACGCGCGCTAATTTGTCAACAATGCAAGGAAGAAACTTGCTTCAACGTTTCTTTGTCGTCCTAAGTGACGGAGGACTCACATGTGACCCGGTGAAATGACTTTTCAACAGAATGAACAGCCACGGTCTGATGTAGCCACCAAGAGAAATTTCTTCACATTTACAAAATCTATAGTGGATTAACACCATAGTCTTGTTTAACAGATATTTAAATTTTATTTAATAATTCCGTGTGCTATGATACTGGATTATTTGCTTTTTTTTTATCTTAATTGCGTCAAAATCAAACAAATCAATATACGCAAAGCAAGATGTGCAACAGTTTTTAAAACAGTTTTTAAAATTGATAGACCTGATGATGGTGTAATACACATCGAAACATGTCGTCAATATAAAATGTAACAAGATCTAGTATCTAATGAAAAAAATGTTATAAATTTTAAGTAATTTTAACAACATTTTTAAGTTTGTGTATAGACGGTAAATAAATTATTGGATTATTTGCCTTAAATTGTGTCACGAACACTTCCTTTCACATTCTTTCCAATTAATTATTGTATAATTTGACGCTATGTAGGCAGAGTTATTATCGGTGTCATTGAATAACCCACCAATAAATAATATATTTGTGTTCCACCAGGATTTAATTTGCTCAATTCGTAGCCCATCTTATGTTAAATTTTCCTCAAAAGACTTCACGCCCCATCAAAATCAATATTTTCCCTCATATTTATGCTTATCACAGCTCTGAAGATGACGTTGGTCTTCTGGGTTGAAACACCGGGTCGTCTTGAAGGTGTTTATCCGACGTTTCGGGGGATAGTCGAGTAAAACTTATTTTTATCTCCTTCAAAGCAAAGAGAGTGCCATTTATTTTCTAGCCTGGTAATGTTATTAAGAATTTGTTACATTTTCTGCCATTCTTTGTGTAAATAAAATTGTTGTGTGTTTCAGATTCTTTTTTTTTAAAAAAATTTCTAATCTGCATGAACAGACTGTTCGCCTTAAAAGAGAGTTTAACCCTCCGGAAACGCCGTTAAATTGAGTAGTTATAATTTCTCTGCGAGGAAGCCTCCTCCTTCGCTCGTGTCATGATTGATTGATTCCACTTGGAAGAAATTCCAGGAGCAGGATTGGATCTTGCTCATAACACTTCATCCGCGCCAACATGTAGGGCCGACCTAATGACGCAAGCCTCCGTGAATTTCAGAATGAACATCTCGCATCTGTGGTTCATTATAACGAGCTCCTCTATTATGTAAACGAATAAGTCCTTCCCCCGTCATTTACATAGAAAGAAATTTAGTTATAACATCCATCCTCCGACTGACTAATCAACTAACTTCACGGAGCAGAGTCCTTGGGATAATAATTCTACTAATGCCTCGCCTTTTATGGAAACCGGCGGTTCATAACCGTGTTCACAGAAACCCGTGGATGCAATCAATACCTTAAAACCCTGTTTCCCTAAAATCCCATTTTAATATTATCCTCCCATCTATGCCCTGTTTCAGTTCACTGGTAGTCCGGTAGATTTATGTTTGTCACCCATTCCAGTATCTTTATACTAATTACACACGAAATCATCTCTTAAATTAGCCTCGTGTAGACACGCAGAATTTATAGTTTGGGTGTGTACCGAGCTTATAAACTCCATGAAAATAATTAAACGAAACTAAGATTACTCTTTTGTGTGCATAATTAATAAATCATAAATTGTTTAATTGTTCAGTTTTATGAGATCTCTTTAAAGCCCAGCGGTAACTATATGTACCATCTGCTTTAAGAATTACGAAAGATTATATTTGTGTTTATGTATTTAGTTTGATTCTCAGTTTAAACAGCGATCATTTCCTTAAACAGCGTTAACCAGTTGATCTTTGTAATGGTGAAGTGCGGTGTTTTCTACGCGGTACGGTCTGAATTCTTAAATATTAATCAGACGAACTATGATTCTCAATGTAAACAGCGATTATTTCCTTAAACAGCGTTAACAAATTAATCTCTGTAATGGTGAAGTGTAGTGTTTTCTTCGCGGTACGGACTGAATTCTTTAATATTTAGACGATCTTCGGCTGTGTACAGGACTCGAAGTTAATTAAAACTTAAACAGCGTTAACCAGTTGATCTTTTGTAATGGTGAAGTGTAGTGTTTTCTTCGCGGTACGGGCTGAATCCTTAAATATCATACGACCTTCCTTTTAGATTTTAATGGTAATTTTGTCATGTGTATTTTCGTGTTGTTCTTTATTCTCACAGGAACTTTAGAAGACTTTTTTCAACACATTTTGAGACTCACAAGTAAATCATTGGGCCGTAAATAAATTTAGTTTTCCGATAACCGCCCCTCTATAAGCTACACGGGAATATCTTTCGGTACAAAAACTTTTAACACCACACGACACCAAGTTTAGTAACGCCGTCCAATACCAAATTTCCGTTATCCGCTGTAATGTGTCTTCTTTTATAGTTTATCAAGACCCCTAGGAAAGGTCCTTGAGCTAGAACAATATCCTTTAAACCCGCTTATGCCTTGTACAAAAGTTTTCCCGTAGTAAACCGAAATACGCCCGAAATCATGCCGGATTACCATTCTGAATGAAAGGTGTTCGCTTGTAACATTCGAACTAAGACACTTCTTATATGTCCCTCCGTATGAATTTCCTATTCAAGGTTTTTATTTGTACTTCAGAATACAAGAATCTCCACGCTGTTTCATAATAGAATTCTGGAAAAAACCTGTATTAGCCGCGGTAACGAAGTCAGTATAGTGACTAGACGACCGGTGTTCGATCCCCGACAGAGGCAGAGAGAATATTTCCTGTAGCCTGTGCTTACAGACGTGCACTGGGTACCGGGGTACTTAAACAGTGGCCGGGTCGTGACGCTGACCGCTCACCCCATCTCCCCCAAGCGCCCACGTGGCGTGTAGCGAGACAGATTTACTTTTGTATGTAAATAGCGACTGATAGTTCATTTCGGACGTTTCCAAGTGCACAGTTTTTTCAGCCTGTTGGATTTATTGCTGCAGAAAACTACGGTCAGAGTGGGATCCAAGCTTTCCGGGAGTTGGCAGAGAAGCTGAACGTCTGCATCGCGAAGGAAGACTCTGTACTTAGCAACGCGGAGGATGAGGTGTTCGACAGGGTGATCCGAAAGTTGGACGAGGATCAGAACGCGCGAGTTGTCGTTTGCTTCTGCGAGGGGATGACGGTTCGAGGCCTGCTGGCGGCCACGAAGCGACTCAACCTCACCGGTCGCTTCCTGTTCCTCGGAAGGTGGGTGCTTTTTCTTTCTCAAGTGAGGTCATTGACTGCCTCCATCCTCAGGGTTGAATTGCTGAAGCTCGAGACAGTATGTTCCCCTCAGATGTTGGTATCTACCTACCTGTCCCCGCGGCGTTACAGCTCAGAAGACCAGCGTCGATTATCTTCAACGTCGTGGAAACATCGAATTCCATTAGTTAGTTAGTTAGTTAGTTAGGCCCGATGCACGAGCTGTGATCTTTGATGCTGAACAGAAATATCTGCATAATGACCTTTCCGGCTTTGGTGTTTTGAATTCTGTTGCAAACGACGAGACACGAAGGTGAAAAACCTCTTGGAACACCAGAAAAAGATACGAAAATCTCTCAAGCCGTTTGTTACGTGTTTTACGTGGGTTCGTAAATTTGACAAACGAGGAAAGTGGCGATCTTCAGTGCTTTTGAGTACATAAGATAAGAAAGAAATTGTCGAGTTGTTTTGAAGTGGTTAGAAAAAAACCCAGTCTGAGCTGTGTTTCATTTGCAGTACACAAGGAAATAAGGGCATTGTGTGAGCTGTGTGGCTGTGCAAACTTCTGACGTGGGTGCGATAATAGTTTCATTTGTTTAGAGCCATGAAATTTGTATCTTCGTATACTGTACAGCGGTGACACGTGGGCATTTGAAACCGATATCGATAATTAATGTATCGAGTTACGTGAAACATGTTTTTTTTTATCTGTTATCACAAATACGACAGAGATGTACGTATACCAGTTGATATGTTAGTAACATGACATTATGGATTGAATTTAATTTTTGTTTGATAAACTTTTAAAGAGACGTCAACGCCATCTCTGAAAAGTTAAGTCAACTGTTTGTAAATTTTGACGAAACAAAAGAACGTTTCTTCCGAAACACGTTAACAGATTGAATTTAAACAAAAAATCAGTGTGGAAATGTTAATGGGTTGTATTTAAGATGTTCTTGTGGGTTTTGACGCCGTGTGTGAGAGACCACACGGCGTCATAACCCAAAATAACAACAATTCCATCCTCGAAACTCGAATAAGATTGTATTTTGTAAACATTTTATAGGCAAGATGTATTTTATTAACGGTGTGCACTAATATCTTTCCAATAGGTTAATTGTAGTGACGTCTAATCTTTAGTAGTAAACTAATTAACAAAGTCGAAAGTTAATTTCAGCTTCGCTGGTCCTGAAATTCTCTGCATCACTTATTGAAGCTCTGACGGAGAGTAGCTGCCATCTAGGTAGCCGGTGTGAGATTCTCTAGGGGGACCGGCTAATTATTGGCTTTCAGGCTTTAGTAATACGCGAGGACACCGCCCCTCTGTTCACGATTGATTGACAATGCCCGGAATGTAAATAGGGAGTGATGGGTAACAGCCAGACGTGTTAACACGTTCCATGTTACACACGAGAAAAGTCGTTTGAAATCTCTGGAAATTATGATCTGAATTAATTTACTGTTCCGACTTATGTAAACAGTTGAAATAACGACACTGCACGTTACCATGGAAACGAAAATAACACATGAGGGTTGTGAAATACGAAGTTCCGTGGATTTTGTAATCTCATGTGGTCTTCCAGGTTAGATACGAATGTTTCGGAGCAACATACTGCCTCCGTCTTCAGGTTTCCTACTTCTCTGTCCCCGTTTTTATTCCTTGCGCCCGATTTCTCGTCAATTGTAGGAGTAAGTTAATTTGACCTTGAGATTACTGTGATTTCCAGAACGACTCGAGAAGTAACGACGGTTTTCAACTGCGGTAGGAAAATAATTTAAAGACAAAGCAGCTTAAAAGGGATCTATAGTTGGTGCACCGGCTGTCCTTGCTGAGAACCGCGTGCTGTCTGTTTTGAAGTTTTAAAATTAACATTAAACTATAAATCGATTTCCAATAGTCGATTCTAGCAGCAACAGCGCTCCTCACTTCCGGTGGCTGCCGTCGTAACTGGCAACAGCGGAAACCAACTTCTTTCGACTTGGAGTCGCGTTGTTTTTACCTGTTTATTTTGTCTGTGAAGTATCGACGAAGTTTGTTTGATGTATTCAGCAAAAATATTTCCTGCGCCAAAGCACCAGGCATTGAGCGTAAGATGGAGATGAGAGTGAGTGGTCGGACTATTCATTTTGTTTTCACAGCGATGGCTGGGCGGACCGCAGTGATGTTACTGACGGATTCGAGAGCCAGGCGCGTGGAAGCATATCCATTCGCATCCATTCTCCCAACGTCACGGATTTCGACGACTATTACTTCAGCCTGAACCCCTACACCAACAGCCGGAATCCGTGGTTTCACGAATTTTGGCAGCAACGCTTCAACTGTAGCATTAATGGCGGCCATTACGACAGCAGCTCCATCTCTGAGAAGACTGGCGAATCAGCAGGGAAGAAACCGAGGTGCACAGGTAAGGAACAGTGTTTAGTCTCATTAAATCGATTGAGCCAGCGAGACTTGCGATTCCCCGGAGGAAAAAGGAGGTCTTCATGTGAAGTGTCGAATATTTCTGGTAGAATTTAATTTTGAGTATAACGTGTTGAGTGCGTTTAGTAAAACAGGCAAATGCGAAGTTTCGTGGAAATCCGATCAGCCGTTCTCGAGCTGTTAATGCGTACGGACGGACAGAGTTATTTAATTGGCGCTCGGCGGGGTTGCGAATCGAACACCGCACATGCGCAGAACATGCTTCGGATTTGCCAGAGCATTGTTTATGGAAGTCTGGAATGTCAAGAAATGTTTTCACGGATACCAAATGCCCGTTGCCGTCACTAAACTTTTATCCTGGGCTGGTTTAATCCTGCAGGAGAACCCAAGTCAAGAGACCTACAGGAAGTTCTCAGCTTCGCAATCGAGAGATTCGGTTCGTATCCCGAATTTAAAATAATTCTTACATAAATTCTATGAATTTGCGCCCGACGTGGCACCTGAGGACGGAATTACTGATTTATGTATGAAAATAGCGTGTGGTATGACCCGTACGGTAATGAAACTATTTGAGAAGGTATATTATTTGTTACAACTATCTTAATTCAAATTACGTTTGACTTAAGCCATTTTTACTTATCATCATTAGTACTTTATGTTTAAATTTAACTGATATTTCGTTTGGTGATGATTATAATGTTGATATGGGTTTTGGCGCCGTGTAGACATGACGGTAGAAACCATGGTTTCGTAGTGAAACCCTCAAAACTCAGATATTTTATTTGTTGAAAACAGGCAGAGAGAAGTTGAGTGACAAATACAAAGCCGATCCCAAATTGTCCTTCATTATAAAGGCAATCTATACGATGGCCTTCGGTCTGCATCACATGCACCAAGATGTGTGTGGCAGAGATGCTGTGGGACTCTGCTCAGATCTCTTCCCATTTAACGGGTCACTCTTTAAGGTAAGCGCGTTCACTTACCGTGGATTATTTCAATCACGTATCGCTTATCTAAATTTCTGCTAAAACTGCACTGAACTACGATCCTCTTTGATTTATCCTCAGAGCTACTTACTGAATGTAACGTTCACGTATGGAGAAGAGGAGGAATTGGTGGAATTTGACAGGAAAGGGGATCCTCCTGGCAGGTAGGTACGTACGGAACCCTGCCATTCTTATCTAAGTCTAAAATAATTCGTCCGTGCGCCAGAAAATGACAGTGTTCTGTACCTTCGCATTTGAAATTAGTAGACACTGCCCAGTTGCAAATAAATTGTAGACATCTTCTCTTTCCATGGTATAAAGCGCGAAGTACGTAAATAATATTTAAGAATCCAGTCCGTACCGCGAAGAAAACACTGCACTTCACCATTACAAAGAATCCAGTCCGTACCGCGAAGAAAACACTGCACTTCACCATTACAAAGAATCCAGTCCGTACCACACTGCA